GAACCGCTGAACTGCAGATAGCAGTCAGCTGAAGTGGCCTGCAGTACTGCACCCTAACCACTGCGCCACCTCGGTTCCATTCTATTTGTAATTCAAGGACTACCTGTATGCACCCTTTGAGGATACGTTGCATAAATGAACTGAGTGGAGATTCACTGATGATATTCTTACTTCAAATCATTTCATAAATTAGAACTTTCTTCGGTTAGATGTATTTCTTAGAACCTAATTTTAAATGTACTTTCTCAAACATTTCTCAGAAATAAGAAGTACTGGGCTCTGTGGAAACTATACGTATGTAGACAACTCCCAGTTTCCCAGAGTTACAGCGGGAAGCTCCAAAATTTAGGATTCCATTTGTGACTCTTAGTATTTTATTAATGGCTTACTCTAAAATAATTCTTATGTCCCAGTGCGAGGGGACTTACAGATTGAGGCGAGACATTTTGTAAAAGCTAACAGTGTTTATTTCTAACAATTAAAGCTAATTGTGAGCGCTAGTTTAACAGCTGGTGCGGCTTCTTGGCTAACAGGAGCAGCGGCTGTCAGCACTTTTGACAGCTCCTTATATATTAGCGCCAGTTTTGCTTCAGCCAATCAGGGCTCAGCGGCTCTGCATCAGGCACGGACCAGAGTGTAGCCTGGATGCAGCAATAATGTTTCTTACATGCAACATACATGCATATATGTGTGCGCGTGCACCTACAGAGTGAATTCAGTAACTGGTATCATCTTAATTTTTTAAAAATTAGATATGCCCTCTGGCTATAAAAGGTTATGGATTCCCAAAATCATATTTAATAAGAAACTCTGGTTTGTGCTAGACAGCTAACCACAGATTTATCTCAGAAAATTGCCTTCAAAGTCTTACCTCGACAAGCTTTGTCTTCTGAGTTCACCTTATCCAGGCCATTTATACATTCACATTTTGGAATACCACCGTCAACATCCGTGCAGTTTGTAGTGTTTTTATCACAATTGAAAAATTGTATATCACAACCTGATATACCTAATAAAAAGTAGAACAGTGTGGATAAGTAGCTGGAGAGGAAGCAATACAGTGGAACCTCGGGTCATGACCGTAACCCATTCCAGGGCTTCGGTCGGCATCCAATTTGGTCGTGACGGGAAGCAAGACTGACTGCACATGCACACATACCCCCACACACAAAATGCTGAAGGGAAAATTGCTACAGCAGGGGAAATCACTGAGACTGTGATTGCCACCCAAGTATATGTTCTCGACCAGAGTGAAAAATTTAGTGGATTTTTTGGTCTGGACCCGATTTGGTCATGGTCAGAAGCAATCATTACCCAAGGTTCCACTGTACATCTCTCAATAGTAGACATTCAAGGACTTCTACTCAGTGGTAGAGTCCATGATGCTGCGTGGAGAAGGCCTCAGGTTCTGTCCCTGGCATCTCCAGATATGGCTGGAAAAATAATAAAATCTTAGGAAATTGGTGCCAGTGAGTGTGACTGGATTGTAACAGGATTTGGGTTCAGTTTCTAATGACACAAGGGGAGGTTTTTGGAAGGAATGTGTTTTTTTTCTCTATGTCTTTTGAAATTAATAGTAATGTCATTGCCTGGGAAATTTGATTATTTAAAATGCCAGCAGGTTGCAAATGAATGTCTCAAAATCTGATACAGTGGTTAAATATTGAAATATATAAATTCCTATTGAGTTGTGATCCTTAGACACACACTCCTGTACAGCCAAGTAGTAATGATTAAGTTATACAGTGGTATTTATTTTATTTAAATAAATAAAAGCCTCATGAATGCAGACTTTAAGTCATACATTTCCAGGTCTTTGAACTGTAATTCTTCCAAACCTGTAACTATGGAAATCTCAAAGATGCTTTTTTCAAGAGGCAACTGGATTTTCTTGTTTTCCTTTGAAGACATCTCACTTCTCATCCAAGAAGCTTCTTCAACTCTGACTGGATGGTGGGGAATTGACGGATTTATACTCCTTTCAGACATATTCTTGCAGTATAAATCCTTCCATTCCCCACCATCCAGTAAGAACTGAAGAAGCTTCTTGGATTAGAAGTGAGATGTCTTCAAAGAAAAATAAGAAAGTCCAGTTGTTTCTTGAAAAAAAAAAACATATCTTTGGGATAACCATGATCTGGATGACTGATAATCTCCATACACACATATCTGTGGAAGCTTATTGCTTCCATTCTAGACATTGTATCTACCTGATATGGTGACTGATCTCTATTTCATTAATAATTATACCAATTGACCTCTGACTTTTGCCTAACCCTAACCTGCAACAATTCAGTTACATCTGCTACCTGTTTTAAGCAAGAACCAGGAAATGCAGCAATGTGCAATATTAAAAAACCTAATCTGCATCACACTCACTCAATAGATAGAGCTGGATATAAATTACATTAAGATGTCATTGTTTATCTATGTTTTGTTGAACATAGCTTGGCGTACGTACACACACACACAGCCCCAAGCCCCACAATTGGATTACACACCACAATGATCTGGATTCGCATTTCATGTGAAACCAAAAATATGTTGTGGCTTAGCTTGATGTGTGAAGCAACCTTTGAATTTGGAGGGGGGAAAAAAGTAATGGAGTTATGCCAGCTGACTACTGCTTTTTGGTGCCCTACCTAGTAGATAAAAGAACTGAACTTAGATGATCCCAAGCTCAGTTGCGCTAAGTTATCTGAAGATGTATAGGTGCAGTCAGTTGATTGTGGTTATGTGATATAGTTGTTAAAATAATGGCCTAAACCTGTATATAACAGAATAATAGAGTAACATAATTGGAAGGGAAGGGAGGGCTTCTAATCCAATCCCTTGCTCAACCAGAGTGTCTAAAGGCTAGCCATTCTATTGATTAATTGTTCTGTCAGGAAATTTCTCCTTAGTTCTAGGTGGCTTCTTTCTTTAATTAGTTCCTTCTTTTCCTGCCTTCAGGTGTTTTGAAGAATAGGTTGACTCCTCTCTTCTTTGGGGCATATGAACCAAGTGATAGTCTGATTGGTCAGAATAACTGTCTTCAAAGTAAAAATATCTGTGACTGGTTGGTTGACATGTCAGCTGGATATAGTGACGTGTGTAATCCCACACATTTGGAGAGTCAGCAACTTGGGGAATCTATAATAGTTTTAAATGGACTGGATTGAATCAACCTTTTAATATATACCGTATATACTCGAGTATAGGCCGACCCGAATATAAGCCGAGGCACCTAATTTTACCACAAAAAACTGGAAAAGTTATTGACTCGAG